GCCCCCACTCCCTTCCCAGAGTTGGGGAAAGAACCCAGGAGTCCTGGCTCCCAGCCCCCCCCCCAACCAGCTAGCCCCCACTCCCTTCCCAGAGCTGGGAATCGAACCCAGGAGTCCTGGCTCCCACTCCTGTGTGTTAGCCACTAAACCCTAATCCCAGGGTCCGTATCCTCCCGTGTGGACCCCCCCATCCTGCTGTTATACCCCTTCGCCTGCTCTGCTCAAACTGTGAGCCCTGGGGCACAGGGACTGTCTCTCGCTCTGGGTCTGTGCAGCGCCTGGCACGACAGGGCCCCAAGCCTGGGTGGGGGCCCTGGGGTGCCACCATAATACAGCAAATTACTCATCCTAAAACACTGAGCTGTGGCGAGGGACAGTCCCCACCCTGGGAGGCGTTCACCTGAGGAGGGGAAACGCTCCGAGGGAATCACAGTCCTGAATCCTTCGCTGCCCCATGTCCCACCCTAGTGCCAGTCGCCTGTAGCCGCGGCGGCCCCGGGCAGCCTCCCCTGCAAAGGGGGCAGCGCGTGGGGGAGATGTTGGGGTGGGAGCTGGCAGACAAGGGGGGATGGCTGCATCGCTGGGATGGGGGGAGAGGAGGGTGCTGGGTCCATGTGGTAAGAGCTGAGCGGACCAGTGCGGGAGGGGGTGGGCAGAGGGGTGCTCAGCGGGGAGGAGGGCTGTGGGGTGCTCAGCGGAGGGGCAGAGCAGTGGGGTTCTCAGTCATGGCCCAGAACCTCACTGCATTAGGTGCTGTACGTTATTTATTAGGTGTATTACGGTAGCACCTAGGAACCCCAGTCGTGGCCTAGGACCCATCACGCTAGGCTCTGTGTGTTATTTATGCATTAAAGGAGGGGGATTTGCTGTGTGGCCGGGGGCTGCCCCTGCGGGACCGGGATGGGTCGCTGTCCCAATCCTGCATCTGGGACTCCCAGAGCTCACAGCCCCACCTGCCTGCCCTGGGGGCTGGGCTGTTTGCCCCGTGCGCCGTCTCCAGACATCATGTACCAGGGGGCCCTGCCCAGCGGCCCCGAGTTAGAGGTGCCTTTGCCCCCATCCTGGCCGGGGTTGGGGGGTTGCTCAGACACATTCTCAGGTATGTGTGTGTGTGTGGGGGGTTTTCTCCATTGTTCCCATGGAGTGGAGGGGGGATGCGCCATTGTTCTCCGGGGGATTCCCCTGGCGTACGGTTAGCCCTCAGGTGCTGGCAGTGCCGGGGCGGTTCCGTCCGGAGCACCGAGCCGAGCTCCACGCTAAAAACGGGCTTGGCCCCTGTGCTGAACCCGGTGACTCCGGCCCCGGATCCCCCCGAGCCCAGACCAGACCGGCAGCGGGACGGGTGATCAGAGGGGGCGTTCATTAAAGAACAGTGCCCATGAGAAACGGAGCGGTGGGCGTGGCGCCATTTTGTTTGTCCCATGTGGCCTTAACAATGGACCGGCACAGGCCGTCCGAACTCCCATGGGGCTAAAGCTCCCGGGGCGCCGGCTCCATCTGAGGCTCTGTTCTCTGGGGGCTGCTGGCAACTCTTGGCCGTTTGGTTTTCATTTGTCTTGCAGCAGCGAGGGGCAAACGCTATTTCCCTCTGGCGAGCTCCCCCGAGAACTGCCCTGTTGCAGAATGGCTGCCGTCTCCTATCGCTCTGCATGGAGCAGAAGTCGCAGGGGCCCTCAGGGTAGCCTGGGCTGTGGAGGGCTGGGAACCAAGAGCGGGGGTGGCCATCTTGAAAGAGGGCAGCTTGCCTGGAACGTTGTGAGCAAAAATAAATGACCATTAGGCCTAAAAAATGCCTTTCAAAAGCTACCTATGGCACCAGAGCCCTCCCTCTCTGTACCTCCATATTCAGGCCCGGCCCTGCCCTTGCTGCAAGTTAGAGCAGCCTAAAGGCCGCTCTAATTTGTGTTCTGCTTCCCCTGGCCCCATGGAGCCAAGAATACCCAGAGTGCAATGCGCTCTAGCCATGGCCCCCAAGCCGCCCCCTATGCCAGGGGCTGTGGTGCAGTGCGCGTGAGCAGAGCCCTCAGGCCAGCTCGGGCACCAGCCACCCTCGTGAAGGCCTTTGGGCGGCGCCAAGAGTCCAGCCTCTGAAGCAGACGTTGGTCGGTGCAGCCATGGGCACCGCTCTCCAGCCTGCCCGGTCTGGGTAAACCCCCAGCTGGAGTCTGGGTGGGATCACACAGGTATGGCAGGAGGTGCTCCTTGGATGACAGGAGTAAATGCCCCTGGGCCTGCTGGGGAGAAAGGGCCCGGGAGACTTTTACGCCAGATGGGGCATTTGGGGAGCCAGAGCAGGCCCCGGTGATCTCTGCCAGGGGCTGGTGTGGGCCAGCCCAGTGGGGAGACGGCTCAGAACCCCCTGCCCTGGCTGGGTCAGTCTGTGCAGCCAGCCAGGGTGGCAGGCGGGACGCGTGCACCAGTGTGGGGTCAGCCAGCCGTGAAACTGGCAGAGCGCGATCCGCCGTGCGGTAACCAGACGAGCTTGGCGTATGTGCGGCCTCTGCCTCGTGGCACAGGGCCGGCGGGGAGAGGACCCCGGCGGGGGTCTTGGCAGGCGCGCACACACACACACCGCCATCCAGGACATCCCATGTAACTACCCCAGCCCTGCTGCCAGTCCTGGGGTTTGGGTTTTTCTTCCTGGGCTCTTTAGCTGTGATAGTGACCAAGGCCCCTCTGGGTCAGCTACTGTCTGTGGGTCTGTCCCCCACTTCTGCGGCCTGGGCTCTGCCGGGTTGGCGCAGCCTGCGCCGCGCCATGGTGAATGCAGCGCCCCGGGTACTTCGGTGGGGGGGCCCAGCTGGGTGCAGGGGGCTGGAGTCTGGCTCCAGTCCTGCCAGATCTGGGTTTCCCCTGGGGAGGAGGCTGCATGTCCCTAGATTATCCTCCCCCATCGGGGAAGGGTGCCAGCACTTCGGGGCGCCCGGCCTGCTCTGTCTCTGCTCCAGGACTCCGGTCAGTTGTGCTGCGGGGCCCTTCGCAACGGGCGCCACCCATTACCCATCACACCCGTGCCCCCCAGTGTGCCCTGGGCTGGGTTCTCTGCTGCAGGGGAGGGAGGCCAAAGCCGTGGGTAGAGAGGCTGGGGGAGGGGAGCCTCCTGGAGAGCCCCGCACTGTCTGCTGATCAGGCAGAATAGCACAGACGCTAATTAAGGGAGAGGGAGGGGGGCGAGGGCAGCAGGGACGCCGGGGAGCTGCGATCGGGGTCTGTCTGTGACCAGCTGCTGAGCGGGGAGCACGGGAAGGAAAAGCCAAGTGATGGTCATTACCATGCCAAAGTCCCCCGGCGAAGGGGAGGTGACGGAGTCGGGGCGCTGGATCAGCACTGACGAGGGGACGGGATTCCAGAACAGGGCGAGAGGCGGGGCTGGGATACCAGGGGCTGTGGGTCGGGACTGAGGAGCATTGGCAGAGCTGCGGGGGGCAGGGGGGCTGTGGGTCGGGATTAAGGGGCACCGGCAGAGCTGGGGGGCAGGGCTGGGATGGCAGGGGGGTGTGGGTCGGGATTGAGAGGCACCGGCAGAGCTGGGGGGGCAGGGCTGGGATGGCAGGGGGTGTGTGGGTCGGGACCGAGGACCATCAGCCGAGCTGTGCGTGGGGAGCTCAGCTCCGATCACCCAGCTGCCCTGAACGGAGATGCTCTGTAACGCTGTTGCATCTCCGAACAGCCAAACAGCCGCCCCAGCCTCCCCCTCCCGTGACGGGAAGGGATCCCCCCGGCCCAGCACGGAGCATAGCCCAGGCTTCCTAGGACAATGACCCCATCTCTGAAGGCAGCCGCCAGCACATAGCAAAGCCCCTGGGGTTTCCTCGCATCTCAGCCCCCTTCTCCGCTCTGCAGAATGTCGTCGCCTCTCCTTGGAAGAGGGGATTGTCCCCAGCCCCCGGCACAGCCAGCCCGGGCTCCTCTCGGCCCCACGCAGCTGGGGACAGTCCCACCGTCAGACCAGCAGCTGCAGCTCCCGCGGCGGGGAGCAATCTGCAGTCCGGTGTATGGACCTGCTGCTGGGGTGGGGCTCCTGGGGGGGCACCATCACGCGGCCTCCCCGCTATCATGCCACAGGAGGGTCCAGCCGGGATTTTGCACCCAAAAGGGATAGTTAGAAAAAAACCAAAGATTTTATGCAAAACTTGATGGGACTCGGAGTGTCATCGTGGGGGCTTCACCCATCCCCCCGCTGGGCACCCACTCAGGGATACACGGAGATGGGGCAACACCATCATCCATCCAGCCCCCTTCTATCTGTCCATCTCCATACAACCCCTCTATCTATCTATCTATCTATCTATCTATCCCCATACACCCCCTCTATCTATCTATCTATCTATCTATCCCCCTACACCCGCTCTATCTATCTATCTGTCTATCTATCTATCTATCCCCATACAACCCCTCTATCTATCTATCTATCTATCCCCCTACATCCCCTCTATCTATCTATCTATCTATCTATCTATCTATCTATCTAGCCTCATCCACCCCATCTATCTATCTATCTATCCCCATACACCCCTTCTATCTATCTATCTATCTATCTATCTAGCCTCATCCACCCCATCTATCTATCTATCTATCCCCATACACCCCCTCTATCTATCTATCTATCTATCTATCTATCTATCATCATGGTATCTAAGCACCAATTTCCTGTGGTCGAAAAACTGACCGATGGCTATGTGTTGTTGTTTTTTTGGGGGGGGGGATGACCCCTGTGACCCCTGCTGAGGGGACTCGCCGGCGCTCTGCTGGCCCAGTGTCTCCGTGAAGCGTCGTTAGTGCTTCCTGTCAGGAGGCATGAAATATTTATGCTAATTGCTCCCCCCGTCAGTGCATCAAGCAGACGAGGCTAATAAACTGCTGTTTAAATGTTAGCGGCCTAATGGAGCGTGGCTCTCGCCAGGCGCTCGCTGTGGCCGCAGAGCGGGGAGGGTTGGTGTTACCCAGCGTCCCCCCCCCCCACCGCCAGCGCCTAACCCCAGGGCCTGTTTGCTTTGCAGGGGGAGCTGCTCAGCCCATGCCGGTGTGACGGGTCCGTCCGCTGCACGCACCAGCCCTGCCTGATTCGCTGGATCAGCGAGAGGGGCTCTTGGAGCTGTGAGCTGTGTTACTTCAAATACCAGGTGTTAGCCATCAGCACAAAGAACCCCCTGCAGGTGAGCGGGTGGCGTATGGGCACACGCACGCTCCGGCACGCCCACGCACTGACGCGGACCCACAGACCCGCACGCGTGTGCACACAAGCTACGCACACGCCCTGACACTGATCCAGGGCCATTGCACTCCTAGACAATGGACAACCTCCGGCTATCCTAGCCCTTGGCTCCCCTCCCACAGCTCTGTCGGTGCCCCTCAATCCCAACCCGCAGCCCCCTTCTCCCAGCCCTGAGCTCCCCCCTCGCCCCCGTCCTGATGGGCTCCTACAGGCAGTACCAACGTTCCTCAGAATCCACTCGACAGCCAAACATTCCTCAGAATCCATTCGGCAGAGACCAGACCTGACTTAACTTTATCCTGGTGCACTGGCAGCAGCTTCCCTTCCCCGGGTCTCCTAGCCCCTGTGATTCCCTCCCCCCAACCCGCTGCGGCCCTAGCCCCTTCCCCCCAGACACCAGATCCTTTGGCCTCTATGATTCCCTTGCCACACATCGTGTGCCCAGCCACTCGGGTCTCCGTACCCCACAGTCCCCAGCCCACTCTGATCCCCCAACTCCCCACCCCGCGCCCGATCCGGTAACCCGTCGCTGCGCCTTCTTCCCTTGCAGTGGCAGGCGATTTCCCTGACCGTCATCGAGAAGGTGCAGATCGCAGCCATCATCCTGGGCTCCCTCTTCCTCATCGCCAGCATCTCCTGGCTCATCTGGTCGTCCCTCAGCCCCTCGGCCAAGTGGCAGCGGCAGGACCTGCTCTTCCAGATCTGCTACGGCATGTACGGCTTTATGGACATTGTCTGCATAGGTGAGAGCCTGGCCCGTCAGGTCCCTCCACCCCAGCCGTGGGCTCCCTGACTTCCCCTGTCCACCCCCTCTGGCTGGAGCTAGGCAGCTCACGCCGGAGCAGTAACTGAAAGGTGAATCCACCTCATCCCCCACCCTCTGCTGCCCAATGGCCTCCTCACGCCTCCCCTGTTCGGCTCTGAGGTGCACCATGCTTGGTTCCCGTGGCGATGGGTAGGGCGGGACCATCAGAATTCAGAGTACTGGGAAGCAGGACCTACCTAACGTGTGATGCACGTGGGGGTTTGGGTGATGAGGGGCTAGCCTGGGACTCAGGAGAACTGGACTTGGTACCCGGCTCTGCCACTGCCTTGCTGGGAGACCTTGGGCACGTCACTCCCCCGCTCCGTGCCTCAGTTTCCCCTTCTCTGTAAGACTGTACGTTCATCAGGGCAGGGACGGGCTCTTCTCTGTACGGCACCTTGCACAGTGGGGTCTTGGCTGGGCTCTCTAGGGGCTCCTGCTGTAAACAGGCATCCCTCGCTGGCAATAAAGCCCCACCTGATTGCAATGACGTCTGTTAATTAAAAGCGAATGAAGCGGACTCAGGACTGGGACAAGATCGGCAGCGTTCAATGATGGGCTCTGCCGGCAGCAGAGACGAGACGATTACCGGCTGGGGCTTTGTGGCTGGAATGACGAGCCTCCAGCTGCAAATGAAGGGATGGACTGTAAATTTCCGATTGAGTCAGCAGCTACGTGTCCCATTGTACCCACATTAGGGAATGCGAGAGGTCAGACTCGCAGCCAATGGGCAGGATCCTGTGATAGTGAAACAGGAGAAATGCTACTTAGAAATGTCTGCACATATTTGGTGCCTTCCCCATGTGCGAAAAATTTACAGTAATAGGTCCTGTTACAATCAGGAATAACAATTATCAGATAGAATAATAAGGTAGAATAATAATTAATAGATAATAATAAAAAGCAATGGTTATAGCTTAATAATACTCTAATAAAATAATAAATAGAATAATTGATCATTCTAATAATGATGACTGATATTCTAGTATAAGAATAGATCATGATAATTATACTGCAATAATCTAATATTAAAATATTAACATAAATCGCTAGAATGATAATGCATACACACTAATAACAGCATTTTAATAAAATAATACTTATCGTTTAATAATATAATAAAACACTTAATAGCTAGAATAATCATTAATAGGTGGAATTAAAAATAAGAATGAATAGTCAGCCAGCCCATTCTGAAACGATTGTTTATTTATATTACTGTTATGCCTGCGGGCCCCAACTGAGAACATCAGGCTCCTTGTGCCGGGCGCTGTACGTCCATATAGCAAGAGAGAGTCCCTGACTTAAAGAACTTACAACCTGCATAGACAATGGGTGTCAAGGGAAACTGAGGCACGGACAGGGGAAGGGACGTGCTCAAGGTCACCCGGACGGGTAGCGGTAGCACCGTCCGAAGGAGAGTCTCACATTGCTGAGATGGAAAGCCCTTGTTCGCCTTCTGATCATAGGGGAGGTGATGTGGCTAAGTAGTAGCCAGGTCTGCAGGCTGAAGGACGTGTGTCCGCAGCCTCCCAAGCCCGGGGCCTGTTTCTCCGTTGCCCTGGTCCTCGTGCGACACACGAGGGCACAGCCAGTGTAAAACGCTGTTGTGATGTGGGCGGTGTGAACGGCTGCACCACACGCAGGGCAGTGGAGAACCTTGTGGGCGCTCGCTCCCTTTGGGTCATGGAGCACCAGGGAGGGATTGTGTGCACGTTGACACCCTGTCCAGAGGTCTCTGCTCATTAACGACCCTGCCATAACGAACCAGAACACACAGCCCCAGCATTCATGAGCACCCCTGCAAAACCAAACCAGCGTGCGTATGGAGACGCAGCACGTATTAAAACCCTACGATAACAGACCAATGGGTGCAGACTCGCCCCTTGGAGACCCTACAATAATAAGCCAGTACACAGAGCCCCAGCGCTCCTGGGCAGCCTGACAATAACAAACCAGCCTGCAGTGATAAAAGGCTCAGATCCAGAGCCTCAGGCTGGCAGCTTCCGAGCCTCCATGACTCTCCAAGCCCTCAGCTCCACAGCCACCGCCTCTCCGTTCTGAGCCTGTCTAGGGCTCGGAGGAACCGCCTTGCCCTGGCTGGCTTGGAGTTCACACTCCTGGCCCTCCTTGGCAGAGGGGAGGTCTCTGCACGGAAACAGGGCGGGGTACCCACACGCCCACCATGCCGAAGGGCCTGTTCAGTCACAGGGACTCCCGTCATGGGAGCAGTATGCCCACCCAGGCCAAGCAGGGCTCAAAGTGAAGGACCCCGCCCCGTTTCCGAGCCCAGCCACTGGGCCAGGCCTGTGCACATTTAAGCGAAACTTGCCATGGCTGAATCAGCAGTGGGCCCTTGTTGCCAAGAAGGCTAATGGCATTAGTAGGAGCATTGCCAGCAGATCAAGGGACGTGATTATACCCCTCTACTCGGCACTGGTGAGGCCACACCTGGAATACTGTGTCCAGTTTTGGTCCCCCCACTACAGAAGGGATGTGGACAAATTGGAGAGAGTCCAGCGGAGGGCAACAAAAATGATTAGGGGGCTGGAGCACATGCCTTACGAGGAGAGGCTGAGGGAACTGGGATTGTTTAGTCTGCAGAAGAGAAGAGTGAGGGGGATTTGATAGCAGCCTGCAACTACCTGAAGCGGGGCTCCAAAGAGGATGGAGCTCGGCTGTTCTCAGCGGTGGCAGATGACAGAACAAGGAGTAATGGTCTCAAGTTGCAGTGGGGGAGGTTTAGGTTGGATATTAGGAAACCCTATTTCCCTAGGAGGGTGGTGAAGCACTGGAATGGGTTCCCTAGGGAGGTGGTGGAATCTCCATCCTTAGAGGTTTTTAAGGCCCGGCTTGACAAAGCCCTGGCTGGGATGATTTAGTTGGGGTTGGTCCTGCTTTGAGCAGGGGATCGGACTAGATGACCTCCTGAGGTCTCTTCCAACCCTAATATTCTATGATTCTATGGCGACGGGCCTAACCCCAAGGTAGTGCTGGTCTCCAAGGGGTCAGACCTGTCAATCTAGGCCCCATCCGCAGCCAGCCCCCCGCAGCCTTCCCCCTCCCAAACACCAGGCCTCCCCACGCCCTCCCCCAGAAGCTTGCAGTTGTCCATGGAACCTGGAGGGAATTAGGGGTCCGATTCCCACTGGGATCTGACTAGCTGGGCCCTGGCATTTTCCAGGGCCACATTGTCATGAGTGAGTTCCGAGCCCTGGCGGGCCACCATCTCGAGGAACCTGTTTGGCTGCCTGCCCCAGGAGGTCTCACCTCTTTCTCCCCCCCGCCCCGACTTCTCTCCCCTAGGTCTGATCATTCACGAGGGCTCCTCGGTGTATCGAATCTTCAAGCGGTGGCAGGCAGTGAACCAGCAGTGGAAGGTGCTGAATTACGACAAGGCCAAGGACCTGGGGGAGCCCGTTGGCAGCGGGGCGGCCAAGGCCGGGGGCAGGAATTCACGGACGAACCCCTCCTCCGGGAGCGAAAGGAACCCCCGGCGGGGTCAGCGGGTTAGAACGATTTTGAACCATCACTGTGGCTACACCATCTTGCACATCCTCAGTCACCTGCGGCCGAACGAGCCCCGCGGGGGCGCCAGCTCTGGCCGGGAGGTGGTCATGAGAGTGACGACTGTATAATGCCGCCTGGCCGGCGGACGGGGGGGCTGGCGCGAGGAACGCCCCGGAGAGCCGCTTCTGCGGGGGGGGCTGCATCCCAGGGAAGGGCGCATGCCAGCAGTCTCCGCCCCACTGTTTCCACCTCATCTTCCTACTCTGGGGGCCGCCCTCTCCGCGTCTCGGCCCGCACCCGGCTAACCTCCCATCAATGTGAAAATTCCTGCGGGAGAAGGGACCGGGCTGGCCCCTTCCTGCTGGCTTCCCTTGCAACCCCTCCCTGATTTGGGGGATGGGAGAAGATTATCATCCCCCCAGCGACGACTGATCCAGGGGGCCGAGAACGAACGTGCTTACCTCATCATTGGTCAAACAAAAATCCGATCAACCCTTCCCCAGCCCCAACTCCCCGCCCACCCTGCCGTGGGTCTCCCCCCCGGAGACGCCCCCGGGAAAGGGCCTGAACCCCCCCCCCCCCCCCCCCCCCCAAAAGGTGCAATAAACACGTTTCTAAAGCAAAATGGGATCCGGCAATAAGATACCTGTACATTTCATCTTTAATTGAATGCATGAGAATCTGTCTCCCCTTTCCCTTCTCTCCTATCGTGGGAGGATAAAGAATCATTTATATGCAAATGGACGGCTACAAAGCCATCTCTCTCTCTCTCTCTCTCTTTCTTTAAAATCCTTAATCCTGCCAGCTGGGAATTCTCGGTGGGGGAGAAGGGGGCCGTAAGGGCTCACCCCCAGGATGTGCGGGGGGGGGGGGGGCATTGCTGTCAAACAGCTCTCAAGAGGTCTGTCTTGTCTCGTCCCTTGCAAGCCCCGTCCTGGTCTATGTTCAGCTCGGCTCTGGGAGGCCTTTCATTGAAAGGTGGCCCTGGCCTGTCCTGGACTTGACCTTAAGAAGAAATTGGCCGGATCGCTGGGGAGGAAGGACGGGCCAGTGGTTAGAGCACTGGCTTGGCTTTAACCACAGACGATGGGTTTCTTCTCGGGGCTGCAGTTCCCCGTCTGGACCATGGGGATAACAGCCTGGCCCTACCTCACAGGGGTGTTGTGAGGACGAACCATGGCAGCGTGTGGGGGGCTCAGATACTGGTGAGTACCATGTGAGCACTGTCTGTTGATAATTGCTATCATTGTCTTCAAAAGCTAACGTCCTAGGGGAGTGTTGCAGGGTGGGATTTGTGAGGGGGCTGGGGGGGGGGAGATTTCCCTGCCCTATAGCTGCTGCCTTGGGGTTTGCTTCGGTTCTCTGCTGCAGGACGGGGGGGAGGAGGGACTCCATGGGGAGGAATTAGCAGCTCTCTGGAACTGCAGGGGATAACTGCTTTCCGGGCATGGTCCCAGACAGAGAGGAGCTTGGGCTGCAGCACAGATCT